AACCAATATGATTTGCCAATTCATTATCAGTTCAGTTTTTAATGTTTTTGCAACATTTTTTATTGTCTATTACCAATCTATTGTTATTAAAAAAAAACACAAAAAATTTTATTAAATCAATCCATTGTACTGTACCATCCATTATACTATGATACCAATCTATTATTGTTATTAAAAAAAAAATAATCACCAAAAATTTAGCATACCTATTGTTATTAATATAAATCTCAGAAAATTTTATTATATCTATCTATTGTACTATACCATTAAAAAAATCTTGGAAAATTTTTTTATTAACCTTATTAAATGTAATCTATTGTTTTATTTATATTACTTATCAGTAATATTAGTGTTACTGTTAACTATAAAAAAAATCTTACTAAAAACAATTATTAACTTCAGTTAATAAGTTAATTGTTTATTACCAATATATTGTTATTAAAAAAAAATCATAGAAAATTTTTTTATATCAAACTATTATTAAAAAAAAATCTCATTAAATTTTTTTATAAATCTCACTAACACAATCTATTGTTATAAAAAAATCTTTTATTAATTTATTAGTATACTTTCAAAAATAAACTCACTCACTATATCCAAAAGTACACTAGTTATTTAATAAAATAAAATCTGTTCTCCGTTTATTCATATAAAAAATCAAGAGAATTTAATCTTCGATATAAGATTTGAAAAAAATAAACCAATCATTAATAAAACGTTGGTTTATGTCTAAGAAATGTTAAAAACAGTCAGATTAAACAATAATTATTTAAGAATTTAGTAAAAAGAAAATTATTATAAATAAGCTAAATTAATTGCATATGAAAAACATTGTTAATGAGGTTGTATAGTACAACATCAATATATTTAAATATCCGAAATTTAACAAATTTAGCAAAAAGATCGAAAAAGGGAAAATTGCACCCATTTATCTCAAGTTACTTTGAAACAATTCCAATTTCCAAATTCTTCTCTTGACTAAATATTTAACTTCTAGAATGGATCGAATACTATGATAGATTTGAAATAATTTCTGGTTGAAAATGTTTCACATTATACTGTATGATTCCCATATAAATCATATTATAATAACATTTTTAGTTCTTTCGTTATAATTAATAATTTTGATTTTTGAGTTAAATTTTTGATGGTCGCAGAGTTTAAAAATTTATATATCGCGTAAAAGTTTAGCCTAGTAATTTTGCCGATAACTTTTTAACTTACTATACTTAGTTATTTTAACATTTAATCTTACCTATTATGGAGATTTAAATAAAATTGCCAGAATTGAATAAATTTAATTGCCGATCAGGAATGTTCTGTGTATTTTAACTAGTCTTTTTTTAAAATCAATTGCAACATAAAATAACGTTTCTCCTCATTATTTTTGTATTATTTTTTTTATGTAATTTTTACATACGAATTAATAACATATTTTTTATTTAATAAATTGTTTATTAAAATGGATGAAATTAAATTAAGCGATGATGTATTTGAACAAATAAAAGACTTCAGATATTGGTATTTGACTAAAGAACAAGAATCGTTAATTGATAAATTAATAACAGACGAAGAATTAAAGGAACGTTATAAAAAAAATGGTTTATGTAATAAGTGTAAACAACCTAATACTAATTATCCTTATTGTCAGCCATGTAATTCTAAAAGTTTTCAACAAAATTTCAAAAATTGGACAAGTGGAAATCATAGCGTTGATGAATTTATTCAAAAAGCACAGTTAGAAGCTAATGATGTGCATCAAATCTTAGAGTGGATTGAATATGATGAATTTGAAGGTGTTGAATATTTAGCAAAAGGGGGATTTGGAACTACTTTTAAAGCAGTTTGGGAATATGGTCCCATTAATTGGGATTTTGAAAAAAATCAATTGGTAAGAAGTGGTGAAACAGAAGTTGCTTTAAAATGTTTGTATAACTCACAAGACATCACAAAAGATTTTTTAAATGAAGTAAGATATTTTCTTATAATCTTTATTAACTTTTTAATATAAATGTTAAGCTAACTACAATTTTTCTTTTAAGGTTGAATCAAATATTTTAGTATGTGATTCTGATTCTGTAGTTCGTTGTTTTGGTATTACCAAAGATCCAAAAACAAATAATTTTATGATGGTGATGGATTTAAAAGTTGGTAGTTTAAGACAACATTTAAATAAGAATTTCATTTCACTGAGTTGGAGTCAAAAGATGACGAGTTTATTAGGTATTGCAAATGGCCTTCTTGATATTCATAATAAAGGATTAATTCATCATGATTTTCATTCTGGAAATATATTAAGCGATTTTGATGCAACTACTTATATTACTGATTTGGGATTATGTCAACCGGCAAATGTCGAATTCTCTCAAAATAGTAATAAAAAAATATATGGTGTATTACCTTATGTAGCTCCAGAAGTTTTAAAAGGAAAAGAATATACTCAAAAAAGTGATATTTATGGATTTGGAATCATTGCATATGAAATTTGTACAGGTTTCCCTCCTTATTATGATATAGCTCATGATGAATTCTTAGCAATGAAAATTTGTGAGGGGTTAAGACCAAAGTGTAATTACAAAATTCCTCAAATAATTTTTGATATTATTAATCAATGTTGGGATGCAGACCCTTTAAAACGACCTAGTGCAATTGAATTACGAGAGTTAACAAGGGAATTTTTTTATGATACTATTGAAACTTCTGAGATTTTTAAACAAATTAGAGAAGCAGATATAATTAATGAAAAGTTATCTTTTTCATCACCTTTAATATCTACTGGTACTACATTATATATGACACATCCTCAAGCAGTTTACACAAGTAGACTTTTAGATTTTAAAAATCTTCCAGTACCAAAAAATGCTAATTATAATGATGATTTACTTGGAATAGAATATTCAGGTAAGCATAGGTAGTTTTTATAGTAAGATAGTTTTATAATGCTAACAACTAATATCTTTAGATTCCTTAAGAATGGATTTTACTGAACTTGATATTAATTCTAAACGTAATTAATTTTACATGTGATTTTTTGATCTTATATTTTTTTAATTAACCTATTTTTTATTATAGATGAAAGAAATTAAACACACTTAAATGAAAACATTTAGTATCACATTAAAAATCATAATAGATATAATTTATTTTTATTTTATTTTGAACTTTAATGTTTTTTCTGGGACATTTGATGGAAATATAGTATTATATTTATCAATTATTTATTTGAAGATTGATATTGTAATGAAGTTAACAATAATTTTTTTATTAATAAATTTATCACATTATATTATCTAAAATTGATAGTAAATAAATCACTAAGTATTAGTTATTTACTAATCTAGTAGTATATAAATGGGTTATCATCCGAAGGATGATGGCCCATTTATATACTAAACTAGATCAGTAAATAACTTTTTTATCATCCTAGATATACTAATTGGTCCGCCAGTTTATAACTGGCGGAAAAAATCCTAAATACCAATTAGTAGCCAGGTGATAATATTACAGTTATATACTGTAAGTAATGAGTATTATGTCGGTTATCAGTCAGTCAGGCGGTTAGTCAAACCAGTCGGTCAAATAGTCAGTCAGAAGTTTTTGACTGACCAATATCAGTCGCGGTTTATGGCTGGTTATAACTGGTTATAACTAATTTCTGCCATATTCATTTTAATTTTACAAATTTTACAAATTTAAAAATTGTAAATACTGAATCGTTAAAGGCCAGTCGTTATACAAGTCATTTCAACGCATCCATTTAGTTGGCAACGGTCGTAGCTTTACAGTCCCCGAAATGTTTGGCTCAATATTCTTTTTTTTTTTATTTATTTTAGCCACTATGAACTTTACCTTACGGAAATTCGTTAGTAGATTTTTTTCTAGAACGAAAAGTAATATTTATATTTTATATGAGATAAAATGAAAAAAAAAAAAAAAATTTTTTTTTTCATATGGTCCCGCAAAACAGCTACTTAAAAAGATCTGATAAACATCGGAACGTTACGCAAATACGTAAAAGAGATGTCATTTTATATTATATTAAAAAATTCCCACTTTTTTAAATTCTTGCAAATTTCTATACTAACAATTCTGTTCTTGGCTATCACTATGCTAGCTATTTCCATACCCTTCTACAAGCTTCTACAAGCACGAAATAAACTATACAATATTTCCACCAATTTAAATCACTCCCACTTACATAAATTACATCGATTTCAGCAAAGAATTTCTCATAGGTTAAGTAATTTCACAGCGTAAATTTGGGAGATTAGTGATGGGATAAAAAAATAAGCAATATTTCCAATTCTATACTTTAATCTTTATAATATTCCAGTCCGCCTCATACTGTATCCTTTGTGTTCAAGAAATTTTTTTTTTCGTAAGTACAATTTTGCGCCAAACATTAAAGAATTTGGCACGTGCCATCACGGGAATTTATTTGTGATACTGCGTAGTGGTCAGATTTTCTTGGCGAAACAAGAGTAATATGTCCGTTTCATTTTAGAACATCTATAAAGGCGGGAAATTTGATTAATATTGTGATGACATGTTTCAAGAGGCTAGACGAATAATAAACAAACCTACCTTATTATTACTTTGTGAAAGGTACGAGTTCATTTAATTGTAATATCGATGATGCAAATAATGGTATGTTTGAATTTTATTAGAATTTTTGTTTGATTTTTCGCATGATTCTTGCTTATATTCGCACAAGATTGACTAACCGGAGTGGCGGAGTGGCACTTTTCATATGATTCGTAGCAAAAATAGAAATTAATTTTATCAGCAAATCCTAACAAATTAGTTATATAATTAATATAATTATAAAAATGAAGAGACAAATGAAAATTTAAAAAATATGATAAAAATTTCGTAAAGAAATAAGATTTTAATACTGAATGATTGAATTAATTTGATTTAATAATGTATTAGATGCAATATTATTATGCCTATAATGAGTAATTTGGAAGTTATCTAGATTAAAAATTGGAATAATTTTTTTTTTAAGTTTGTGAATCATCAGGATATTCTTCAGAATTTTATATAAATGGCGGTTATAATTGTCTCACCGTTTAATACTTACTATTAGGAATTACTATTGACTGATATCCCTTTTCGCCCTACTTTCCTTTTTTTTTTGCAATAAAAGTGAATATAAAGTGATAAACAAAAAGTCCTCATAAAATAGATACTGTCATCTATCATATCATTGTATTCAAAAAGGGATATATCTTATCATCTCCGTAATACTTTGATTTTAAATTTATAAACTCATTATACAATAAATTAACTTTGAATAGTATTTTATTGTGCTATATTTATATCGAAATATTATGCGACTAAAATTTAATCATTAAAATTGAATTTTGATTACTATTTTTTGAAACTTTAAATTTCGACTCATTAAACATAATAACTAAAAGTAAAATTTAAGCACAATTAAATATAAGTAATATTAATTTTATTAAAATTATTAATTTAGTTAACTTAAGAGAGAAAAAAAGACAATTGATGATATTAGTTTAAAAAAATTGATCGACATGTGATTTTTTTTACTGGAATTTATTGATATCATATTCAATCATCATCATCAATACGGATCCAATTGAGATAGATTTTGAAAATTTTATTTTATGAATTTATAGTGTGATTGATATATTGAATTCTATGAGGATTTGATTAATAAATTCTTATTTCCAAAGCATCATTTTTTAGAAATACATTTCATTAATTTCGTAGAAAATAATTTTAAAACTTTTTTTTTTTGTACAATCTTTAATGTTATTTAGTGCCTCTGTATTTTTACATCATATTTTTACAAGAAATAAATAAATAAATAAAAATGATCTTACAAGTTAAATGAAAAGTTAAGAACCTTTATTTAATTTGCTTATGATCAGATGACAATGTAGCACAATGACAGGTAGATCAGTAGACAATACTAAATTTTGTTGGTCGCACCAGTTTTACCGTCAATGGAAACTTTATTTTTTTTAACAACTATTATTAAAAAAAAAAAAATTTTTTTTTTACAAAAATGTCTAATATTCGAATGAATTTAATAGAAGCAGCACTTACGAGAGCACATTTATTAATTGATTATAATATTTGTGTTGGCTTTCATAAACAATACGAATTTTGTGAACAAAAAATTCTTGATGATGATTCTCTTACAGAAGAAGAAAAAACTGAAGCAATAAGATTAAATAATAAAGGTTATGACCGAGATAAAATTACTTATAATTTAGGGACAAGAAGAATTTGTGAAAATTGTAACCAAAAATGTTTGGCTACATTATATTGTGAATATTGTATTCGAAATTATTTAAAAGCAAACTTCTCAAATTGGACATCTGGAAATAATGATATTGATGATTTAATAAAAAAATGTCAAATGGAGACAAATAACCCAGCAATAGTAATTGAATGGATCCCATATAATAATTTAGAAAATATTAAATATCTGACAAAAGGTGGATTCTCAGAGATTTATACAGCAAAATGGATTGGTGGACAATATGAAGAATGGGATTCTAAAGTGCAACAATTAGTAAGAGTTGGAACTTGTAATGTAATACTTAAAGAATTAAAAAATGTTGAAAATGCAAGTCAAAGTTGGTTTGAAGAGGTTTGTAACTTAAAATATTTAAAGAACTTAAACTTAAAATTTAATAATTAATAATAAATTTTATTATTTTTTTAAAGGCTAAATCACATTTAACTTTAAGTAACAAACGTTCAGAGATTGTTCAATGTTATGGTATAACACAAAATCCATCACATGGAAATTATATTCTTGTAATGAATAAATGTGATATTAATTTAAGAGAATATTTACAACAAAATCATAATCAACTTACATGGAATGAAAGAATTAGAATTGCTTTTGAAATAATTGATGCATTTGATTCTATTCATAAAGAGAATTCAATTCATAGAGATTTGCATTCTGGAAATATATTATATTCCCAGTTTTATGATCTTTGGCGAATTAGTGATCTTGGATTTTGTGGTCCTGCAGACAAACCATCAACTAGTATATATGGAATTCTTCCTTACATAGCACCTGAAGTTATTATTGGAAGAGGATATACTTTTAAATCTGATATTTATAGTATTGCAATGCTTATGTGGGAAATTTCATCTGGACAACCACCATTTATGAATTATGAACATGATTGTAATCTTGCAATTAATATTATTAATGGTATGAGACCAAAAATTATATCAGAAATTCCTTTAAAATATAAAAGTTTAATGGAACAATGTTGGGATGCTAATCCATTAAAAAGACCTGATGCTAATACACTATTGGAGAAGATAAGAGAAATTAAAACATATTATCAAAATAATCCAAATGAATTACCTCAATTAATAGCAAAAGTAGATAAAGAAAAAATTAACATGAATAGTAAATTATTTACAAGTAAAATTTATAATTTTGAAAATCTATCTGAACCAAAAAATGCAACAGAAGGTATAATTTTTTCATATATTATTAATTTAATCTTCTTTTTAATATAAGTATTATTAATAATATCTTCTTTTTATAAATAATAATAGAACAAAAAGGTAATATAAAGATAAAATGTTTTAGTTTAAGTTCCTTTATTAATTAATAAATAAATTGATTTTTTTTTAAAAAATAGCATTTTATATCACTAGATCATATGATTTTGGTATTTCTAGCAATAGTAAGTATTTATTAAAATTATGTTGAATTTTATATAATAAATATTAAATGATCCATTTTATTATAGCTAGTAATCTTAGTAAATCGAGTAATCAATATATATCAATTAGTTCCAATGGTAATTTATTCTTATTAGTGTTTTATAATAAATAAATACTAATTTACTGTATATCTTAATTTTAGATAATGATAGTAAAGAATCACCAAGATTATCCAAAAAATTAAAAATAGAGAACGGTAAAGCCTTAAAATATTTATTTATTATATATCGATTCTAATTTTCTTATAATATTTTCGTTGATGAGTATATTAATAAAATTTGATTTATTGATAATAGTAGACGTTCAAAATGACTATGAGAGAGAATTCATGCAACGACGATCAAATATTGGTACTAATGGTAAGCTATATTTATTAAATTATTTATAAGATAAATTAGGTCATTATTCTAATTTATTTTACTTTTACAGATGAAGTACAAAATAATCCAAGCCTTCATTCAGAACAAAATACTAAATCAGAAATTCTCGATGGTTTGTTTTATTATTTAGTATTTTTAACAATATGATATTAAAATAATAAATTACATTTATTTACTAATCTATCCATTTTATAGATGAATCTTAAATTAATTTACAATTTGACAATATGAATTCAAATTCATTTTTATTATTTATTTTACGTTGAATTATTTAAACACTAAGATTATAGAGTAATAGGAAGATTCTTAGTTTGTAATTTAAATAATTTAGTCATTCTTATTTTTTTTATAGGATTATTCAATTATTAAATAAAGAAATTATTTATTATTATAAATTTATAAGTATTTATTACATCATTATAAAATATCATACACGAGTGATATAATTTTGCAAAAAAATGTGTAAAATTTAAGTGAATAATAAGAAATATTTTAATTGACCGATTATAATCTTTTATTCGATGTTAAATCATATAATCATTTATGGATTACATAATAAATGTATTTATTAAAAATTCTTACTCATTAGCCATTTTCAAAATGGTTTAGTATTATTCATATGAAAGCTGGGAATAATAGGTTTTTTACCCTTTTGGAAAAAAACCCTAGTGTTTCCTGAAATAAATACTAGGTAATCCCCTGGAGCGCGTCACTCATTAAATACTGTATGTAACATGTGATTGACTATTTTAAACTATTTAACTATTTTAAACTATAATTAGAGATTTCTCGGCTATCTATATTAGACCGGGAAATAAATATCCCGGTCACTTGTAAATTCAGCGCAATTATCAAAAATTGGTATGAAGGTAATCATTAGTGACACTTAATGCAACAGGTTAATTTATATAACCACATTTAAATTCAATATTTGATTAAATATATATCCAGTTTCATTCTGTAATCTGGCAACCAATTTCAACCAAAATATTCATTTTGAGTATGTTATTTAAATTTTAATGTTGACAATATGAAAAATATTCAAACGCTGTAAGTATTACATATAAAAGAATTTTATTTAGTATTTCCTTATAAATTAACTAATAAACATACTATACATATTATTCCAACAGTAAAAATTTTCAAGAGAAATTTATTGTTATCATCCGTAAAAAATTCTTTTTTCAGTAGATAAAAAACTTTATACAATATAAAGAGATCAAAAACTTTATTAAGAGTAATAATATGCATAATATTCATTGTATATAGATATCAAGAATTGCATCCCCATTATAACTTATCAGGCTAGAAATAAGACTATTCCCAACTTAGTGTAAGGAGAAGTGGAATTTCCTTTCTGATACAATAAAATAATCTGATTATCTAAGTGATTTCAATAGCAATTTAAACTCCAATCTTCTACTTGTTTGCTTTTAACGAAGTGTTAGTAATATTTCCTAAAATAGCAAAAGGAAAAGAATTAAATCATGAAAACATTATATCAAAATGATAAATATTGACCATATGAATTAAATGAAAGTAAAGGTAAAAGTAGAATTAATTTAAATAATTGGACTAAAGGAATATTAATTAATATTAATATACGGCTCTATAGGACCATCATGTACACGTTGTACCAATATTCTGCACGTCATGCTTAATATAGCGATTATAACGTGCTCAATATTATTAAATGCAAATTTATATAATTATGAAGTTTATAAAATACAGTATATGATTATAGATATTATTAAAAATGCATAAAATAAAAAATATAATTTTTTAATATTAGCATAACAATCAAATATTCATAAAAATATATTACTCTTTCTTTTGACATTATTTATGTACTAAAAGATTCAATAAAGGTGATTTAGAAAGAGAAGAAGAAATAAACTAATAAAGTATAAAAAAAGTTTAATGATGGTCATTCTGATCCGTATATTAATTGTATGTTATTGTACGGGCGTGCTTAATAATGATCTGATGTGGCACTCCGTGCCACATCATACCATTATCAAGCACGCCCGTACAATAACATACAAATATTAAACAGTTAATTTTTAAGGATGAGATTGCTTATAAATCAACAATCACGTCATTAACTCATTATATTTAGAAAGGGATATATATTGTATTATTTTTCAATATTTAGTCTTCAAATGTGATAATTTGTTTATATATAGTAAAATTTTACGCAAGGATTATTATTATCTTCTGATTATTTTTTAAAGAAAGTGTTTTTTTTATATATTTCATTGCAGAAGAAAAAAAATGGCCTAACCGCCTAAATCATGTTAATTTTCAATTTTTTATATACTCATTATATCACGAAAAAAAAGCAATAAATTTTGTTAGTGTCTGCTATTTTATGTTATTGGATTATTATACAACCATCAAAATCGAATTTTAATTCACTTTTTTTTGATACTTTAAATTCGTCTCATTAAACATCAATAATTTATTACTAAAGTAATAAACCATTAATAAAGAAAAAAATTATTTTTTTTTACACTTCAGAAAATCGACAAATATTGTAATTTTACGTAACACATCTTCAACATTTAATATATATATTTTAATATCATTGGAATTTATCGATACAGTATTTGACTTATATTCTAAAATGTTTTAATGTTGCTTTCTTATTCTCTTTTAGACATTGCAGCTTCTTGAACTTTATGGAACAAAAAAAAACCGGCAATTTAGAAAAGGGTGTCACATGTGTTTTTTTGATTTAACTTTGGAAACATTCTAACTATCTTTCTTTTAGTTTCTTAAATTTATTATATAATAGAAAACATTAATAAAAATTTTAATAATTCGCTTAATTGATGAGAAAAATTGGCGTTTAATTTCATTTACCTCCAATAATATTTTATAATAATTAATTAAAGAACTTCTTGGTATAAGACTATATAGACCAGTTCTTTATCAATGTCAGTATTGCTCAATGTGTATATGATAATTAAAAAGAAAATTTTGAATGTATTCAAATGATGATTTGACAGGAAAATATTAGCAGATTTGATTTAAATGACATTAGACAACTTTTTCAATCCGTAATTTGATCATGCTTTAAGTTACAAAATAGTTTATCACACTGCACAGAATACATTAATTGTATTGTATTAATACGTCTTATATTTTTAAGATACATATTCGAGTTTATTAAATTGTATAACACATTACACATTTAAATCATAAATAATACCATGTATAGAAATACATAAATCATCATATCTTTGAACTATAACATTATGCAATCTAAATTCATTTACTTCATCTTCTAAAGAAAACAATTCTCTAGCCGTATCATCATATGGAAAACATTCTGAAAAAGCTAAATATTTAACCCTTTCCTTCCTCATAATATATTCCTTTATGTAAAACAAAATACTTTCTCCTTCATCTTGCATCACATTATTAATTATTAATTTTCTAATAAAAGTGTTTTGAGAATTTTTTAAAAATATTTCAAAATCACTTGAATTAAATGAAAGTGATAAATGTAAATATTCTAATTTAGAAGGGAGAACTTGTCCTAAATTTTGTAATACATTTGAATCTAAGTCATCATAATAAATATCAATAGTAAGACAATTAATAGTTTGTCCAATATTTTCAATTAATAGATAAATATTAATGTCATCAGGATTTTCAGTAGTAAAACGTTTAATTTTTGTACAATATTTCATAATTAATTCAAGAAATTGTTGTCTTGATCCTTCATACTCTTCACACTCAGATCCAAATTCAAAATTTTCTAAATAATCACCACATTTTTGTAATAGAAGTTGTAATGATTCAATATATAATATATCCTTAATACATAAAGATCTCAATTTAAAAGGTTTGATAACTTTAATGATTTGTTGAACAAAATCGGAATTCAAAGAATCACAATAAAGAATATGAATTGATTCTAAAACATTCAATTGATCAAATACTTCTTGTAAAACTGTAATTACATTTCTAAAATCAATACTATCAAATATAATCGTATTTAAAGTATTTGAACAATTAGAATTTTTTAATGATAAAAATAGGTGATATAAAATATCAATACTAGTTCCAAATGAAACTATTTTGAGATTATGTTGTGAAATAATCATTTGTGATAAATATTTTCTAATTGCTGAAAAATCATTAATACTAGATAAAGAAAAATGAAGTGATGTGATTAAATTGCAATTAGAACATAAAAATTTTAAAAAGGAAATGATATTCGTGACATTTGGAGCATGAAAAATACGTAATGTAAAATTTTTAATATTGTAAGTAAAATGTGGATTTTGTAAAACCAATTCCATAGTATTATCAAAACAAGTAAAATGAATATTCCTAGACATTATAAATCTAAAAGAATGTAAGCTCCCTTCATGTTTAAGGAACACTTCAAATAATGATTTATAAACTAATTTTTCTAGATTCTTATGATTATTATCCACTAAAGTATCAACCCATTTTTCAACAGAAAAGTGAATACCAGTTATAGTTAAGTATTTAATAAAATTAGGATAATTGAATAATGTATTTTTAGGTACTAAATTATTATTAATTCCATATTCATTAAATTTTGCTTTACTATCTTCATTTAAAAAGTGTAAATAAATTTCAATACAACGATAATTTCGGTTAGAAATTGTAAATGGATCTTCCCATAATATTGGAATCGCTAAACGACACCAAAATCTATTAACTAAAATACACGAATGTAATGTTGAAAATGTTGTATAATTTCATTTGTTAATTCGGGTAAATCTCCTGAAAATATTTTTGAACATGCCATGTTTGAGAAAGAAAAAAGTGGCTTTCATCCCACAATGGGAACAAAATTTATTTATTTTTTTTTGTAACCGTATGTTGTACTACTTACTCCATGTAAATCGTTCCTTTGTTCGGATAATCTCTTGTTATCTATTCTCGGTCGTCGATAATATTTTTATTTTTTCATATTATAATATTTTGTAACTGGGTAAATTATAAAATGATTTCTTATTATTAAATTAGTCTATAATTCTTATGATTGATTTTGAAAATAATTATAGAATAATTTAATAATATAAATTAACTTACTAATTTCGGAAATCTGAAATCTTGACGTAAAACATTAAAAAAATCATTTTAATCTGAATTAGATAATTCACAATAAAACAGTAATAAAACGATGGAAATATAGAACAATGCCAAGCTGTATTATATGGTCTTGTTATAAGATGAATCATTGTTTCATAAACCATTGGGTGGTGACTACTCAATCTTACTCATGATTGTATATACAGTATGTCACGTGATCTACACAATCGTCATTCGTCTAAAATATTAGTAAGCACACCATAACATTTTCATAGTACAAAGAAAATATATTCACATTCTTCTCGCATTATATTACTCATTAATATAACCTTTTAATAAAATATTTGTTACATTTTTTGAAATAATTTCAAATCGCTTGAGTTAATTTTAAATATTCAAATATTTTTACTTAATAAATTCCGTTTTTTTTATCTTATAATTTAAACTAGAGTAACTTGGTAATTATTAGTGAGTTATAATCATTATACTGTCAGATTGACTTTAAAATTTTGGGTTGGGTCATCAAACGTTTTTATAATTAAATATAAAAAAAATTGATTTTTTTATTAAAAACGTCAGACTTGACGTTTTTGTAATTAAAAAAACAAAAAAATGACTTTTTTAGTTAAAAAACGTCAGGCT